TCCTCACACTGTGAAGAGTGCTGCAGAGCTCATGAAGGCAAGGGCTCTCCCACCTCCACGATCAGCAGTCCAAACCCCAGGAGCTAGTCTGACAGGCCCTGTTCTGAACAGTGAACCCATTTTGGCCGCAACCAATTTATTGTTTCCCAAGGTGAAGTCAAAATCCACCTTAATAACCTAACCTACTCTTCCTAACAGATACTGGAATATATCATAAAGCCACAATGAGTATATACAAGCAGATCAATGGAATAGAACACAAGGTCAAGAAATAGATCCAAATACATAGAGGGATTTAGGACATAATAAAGATGGCATTTCAAATCAGGGAAAGATGGATCGTTTCATAAATGACATTTAGACAAAACAGTGAAGTTGGACCTGTACTAGGGTAAATTCCAAATGGATAAAAGATTTAAATATAAAAACTAAAACTATAAAAGAATTAGTATTATAAAAGTGCAGCATCATAAAAATAGAAAAAATGTTAGCACCTTGTAACAATCTCAGAATGGTGAGGGCTTTTTTAAAACAATTACTCAAAACCCAGGAATTTTATTTAAAAGACCGATAAATTCATTTAATAAAAATAAAAACTGTCAGCATGGCAAAACCCACTATCAGCAGTCAAAAGACAAAAGCAAACTATCAAAAAATGCAACTCACATATAGACAAAAGGGCAAAATTTCCTAGTATATAAAAATCTATGAAACAAGGAAATAAATCAACAACTGAATGGGCAAAGCACATGGACATTTCATGGAAAAGCAAACTCAGGAGGGACTTCCAGCAAGATGGAGGAATAGGTGGACACACCGTACCTCCTCACACAACCAAGATTAGAACAACAATAATTTACAGACAGAATAACACCCAGAACTGACAGAGGATTTATCTGAATGGAAGTCGGACAACCAAGAAGTTGAAGTAGACCCGTACATCCAGACTGGTAGGAGACGACGAGCCAGGGGGGCGTGGGTCGGTGGCGCACGGAGGTCAGGGAAAACGTGGCGTGAAATCAGCGCAAAAGCCATCCGGTTCACAAGAACGCAGGGGTGGTCCCAAGTACGCAAGCTGCGGCTGGCGGACCCAGTGAGGCGGCAATTGTGGACCAGGGAAGAGCTTGCAGCCCAGGATCCGAGAAGGGACTGAGATCCCAGGAGAACGGAACTACCGCCATTGTTCCCTCCTGCCCCCCGCTCCTGCCCCCCACCCCCCCACCCCCCACATATAACGTCACAATCTAGCGACTGGGGTGCCCAGCCCCGGTGAACACCTAAGGCTACGCCCCCCACCGTAACTAGAGCGACCAGACCAAAAAAAAAAAAAAGGAGAGACATGTTTCCAACAGAACAGATCAGTCCCCCAGGACTCATCCTTTTGAGTGACTAAGAAATAGCCAATCTATCAGATGCACAGTTCAAAACACTGGTGATCAGAAAGCTCACGGAATTGGTTGATTTTGGGCGCAAATTAGATGAAAAGATGCAGGTTACCATAAAAGAGATGCAGGAAGATACACGGAGGAGAGGCAATAGTGAAGGGGAGGAAACTGGGTCTCAAAACAATACAGTGGACCAGAAGGAAGATAGAATCAACCAAGCAGGAAAGCATGATGAAATAAGAATTCAAAAAAACGAGGAGAAGCTGAAGAGCATCCAGGACATCTTTAAACGTTCCAACATCCAAATTATAGGGGTACCAGAAGGGGAAGGGGAAATGCAACAAATTGAGCACGTATTTGAACAAATAATAAAGGAGAACTTCCCCAATCTGGCAAAGGAAATAGACGTCCAGGAAATCCAAGAAGCTCAGAGAGCCCCAAAGAAGTTGGACCCAAGAAGAAACACACCAAGCCACATCATAATTACATTAGCCAAGGTAAAAACGAAGGAATCCTAGAAGCAGCAAGAGATAAGGGGACAGTAACCTACAAAGGAGTTCCCATCAGAATGTCAGCTGATTTCTCAAAGGAGACCTTACAGGCAAGAAGGGGCTGGAAAGAAATATTCCAAGTCATGAAAGACAGGGACCTACATCCCAGATTGCTCTATCCAGCAAAGCTCTCATTTAGAATGGAAGGGCAGATAAAGTGCTTCTCAGATAAGGTCAAGTTAAAGGAGTTCATCATCACCAAGCCCTTATTTTATGAAATGCTAAAGGGACTTATCTAAGAAAAGAAGATAAAGAAAAAACATGTATAGTAAATGGAGAGCAAACTCACAATTATTAACAACCACACCTAAAGCAAAACCAAAAGAAGCTAAGTAAACAACTAGAACAGGACAGAACCCAGAAATGGAGGTCACATGGAGGGTTAGCAACAGGGCGGTGGGAGCAGGAGAGAGGGGGAAAAGGTATAGAGAATAAGTAGCATAGAATGTAGGTTGAAAATAGATAGGGGGAGGGCAAGAATAGTTTGGGAAATGTAGAAGCTAAAGAACTCATAAGTATGACACATGGACATGAACTAAAGGGGGGGGATGTGGGTGGGAGAGGGGTACCGGGTGGAGGGGAGAGTGAAGGGGGAAAATGGGACAACTGTAATAGCATAATCAATAAAATATATTTAAAAAAAAAGAAAAGTAAATTCAGAATCTCAAACATCTGGGAAGAGCTCAAACTCTCTTGTGAGAAATAAGTTACACAGAGTGACGTGCTATTTCCATCGAACACACTGGCAAAGGTGACAAAGTTTGCTAACACACATCGGCAACAGTTCGGGGAAACACCTGTATTCCTGGTGGGGCAAAAATTGGTACAACATCCAGGACTCAACAGTTCTGCTCCTAGGAATTCACCCTACAGACCCTTACATGCAAATGACATGTGCGCATGTTATTTGTAGACATGTACATGTCCACTTGTTTTTTGGCAGCAAAAGATAGGAAATTAAATTGTTCAGGGACTGGTTAAATAAACTATGGTATAATGAAGTTCTAGACAGTTTTATATATATAAATTATATATATATACATATATATTTATATATAATATATATAATAAGATTTTATTTTCAGAGAGAGGGAGAGAGAGAAAGAGAGGGAGAAAAACACTGATGAGCAAGAGAAGTATCAGTTGGGTTCCTCTCATGCGCCCCCAACCAAGGACCTGGCCCACAACCCAAGCATGTGCCCTGACAGGGAATCGAACCAGTGACCCTTTGGATTACACACTGGTGCTCAATCTACTGAGTCACACCAGTCAGGGCATAAACAGCTATATAGTCATTCATTCACTCATTAATTCCTTTTTTTCTTTCCTTCCTTCCTTTTTTCTTTCTTTTTGTTGTTTACAGTTGTCCCTATTTTCCCATTACTCTACCCTGCCCTACCCACCCCCCACATTCAATCCTACCCACCTGTGTCTTTGTCCATGGGTCCTTTATACATTTTTAAAAGAATGAGGAAGCACTGTATAAACTAAAATGGAATAATCTTCAAATTCTGCCATCTACCTTCAGAAATTATCTAGAAATCTAGAATCCAACCACTTCCCCAAAACTCACTTGGCCTAAGACATCGTCTCTCCTGGCTGAATCAGCCCCTCACTGGAGTCTCAGCTGCCGCCCTTACTCGCGGTCATCTAGCCCCCAAGAGCAGCCAGGTCCTGCTAAGACATAAACCACAGTGTGCCCAGCCTGTGCTCAAAACGCTCCAGTACTTTCCTCCCTCAGTGAGTAGCCATAAGCACTACATCACCGCCTCCTCAATTCCCACTCCCAACCTCTCTCTGACCTCTTCTCCTTTTCAACCCCACTGGTCTCCCTACTTTCCTTCAATACCCCAAAATGCTCCTGCTTCAGCACCTTTTGTTCGCCAGCGCCCTCTGCCTGGAAGCCCTTCCCCCAGAAGTCCACACTGCTCTCCCTCAACTTTTTTGGGTCTCTATTCACCGTCACCTTCTTGGCCAAACCTTCCTTGACCGCCCTACTTAAAAGTGCACAGACGTGCACACCAGTGCAGAACATGGTAGACATACAGCTTGTTCTCTGATTCTTTCAGCCTTTCCTAACATTTGAAATTCTTCAAAATGTTGAAACACACCCACACAAACCAATTCCCCTTTCCTTGCTTCCCCTTGCACTAACTTCTGACACCCACCGTATTTTTACGGTCAACCCCACACACAACAGAAGAAAATTTAAGCCCCATTAGGGGCAGAACAGGGATTTGGTGTTTCACTCACCACTCTATTTCTTGTAAAACAAGTGCCTATCACCACCCGACACCAGATTCCTGGTTTTTACACTGCACTATAATCCCGTCAGATGTAGCCACTGGGGAGACAGGGCAAAGGGCGCCTCATCACTCCCTCCCTCCCTGTGCTGTCTACAACCTCCTTTAAATATATCAATTTATATATTTTTTTGTTTTTATATAGTCTAATATATTTAAACTGTTTTATTTATGTCTATAAATATATATACACATGTATAAATATATAAATGAGAAAACAGTGCCAAGTACCTGACACTCAATATTTATGGAATAAATTCCATGACTTAGTGAAATTAAATGATTTATAATAAGTAATAATATACTATCGTTGTGAGAAAAGCAAAAGGATTTTTATACATAATTGCTTCTGTCTTCATATATTATCTCTAGAAGAATAAGTGAAAACTGATGATACTGGCTGCTCTTGGTGACTGGGGAACAGAGTGAAGACTTTCCAACATTTTGCATCCTTTGGTTCTGAACTATGTGAATGTTACCTAATTACGGTACAATCTAATTTTAAAACTTCCTGTTCTAGCCTCTTCCTCAGGATCATCACCTTTCCCTAGTTACAGTCCCCAGAATTCAGGATCCCTACATTTCTGAAAAATTGCTGCTGCCGGAGTTTTCACCCTCTGCACCCATCCCTGTAGTGAGCCCCAGGCCGCCAGTGGCCCTCTCCACCTAAGAACACTCTTACACTTAAATCTGAGAAAAACGAACAAACAGCTATCAAAGACGTTTTAGAGATAAATAGGACACTTGAATATCACAATATAGTACATACAATATTATTTTATTACTATGACTTTGCTTAGGTCCAGTGGTGGTATTGTGATTAAGTAGAAAAATGTCTTTAACCATAGGAGACAATGTTGAAGAAGGGAGAGGTGCAAGTCACTTTTTACATGGTCCCACAAAAAAGGAAATGTGTGCACATATAAATACGTATTGATTACAGACGATTTATGTACATATAAATACATGTCTATATGTAGATATACGGACAAATAGAGATAAAAGCTAACATGAAAAATGTTAACAACCAATGAATCTAGGCAAATGTATTATACTGCACTATTCTTCCAATTTTTCTGCATGTTGGAAATTTTTTTAAATAACCAGTTGGGGAAAATTTTTTAAAACCTCTAAGTTTCCCAAAATTAGCTCCAATGTCACTCCTCAGAGGCCCTTCAGTACACTCAATTGGGAAGCCACTCCCTTTGCTGCAGTTCCAAGGTCCTTTACTTATGTTCATCCGTCAACAGACTGAAAAAATCAGGAGCATTATTCACCTCAAGCCCACAGATTTCGATACCCTCTCATGTACACACCTCTAGGTTCATGCTCACACATGCATCCCAGCAAGGCCTGGAATGAACAAAACTGTTTAAAGGGTCACACACTGGCTGGGAAATGTCCAAATCTCAAGAATGGGTAGGAAGGCCTGGGGTGAGCTTGTCAAATTCTTGCCAGGAGGGTGCTGGGGGAGGCAGGGGAGAGGTGCGGGGCCAGGATGTTGTCACTAGAAGGACCAGCCCCAGAACAGAGCCCATTCCCCATATCCACTATGGACACCCCTTAAATCTGGTACACCCAAGGCTCAAATTTCACAGAATTCAATGACTAAACTCTCTTTAAGTGGATGGTTCCTCCTCTGGACAGTGGAAACAACAGAACAGCTATGGAGACACTTCAGGAATATTCTGGATACCTTGAAAAGCCCGCAGACAGTGGGGCTTCTGGCTGGTGGCACAGTTGCAGCAAAGGCAGAAGCAGCAGTCGATATCCAAGTACACAACTTTATTGGGAACGAGGGGGGGGGCGTAGGAGAGGACTAGGAGTCAGGCTCTGTGACAGGTGGTGGCTTCTCATCATCAGGAGGACAATCAATGAAGTCAGCCAGCATGGCAGCTGTGTCATCCTGCTCCTTTTAGGGACAAAGACATAAGGTTCAAAATGGTCTCCTGTACGTACACAGAAAGGGGGAGCAGGGAAGAAACCTCTCCCCTAACACAAGCATCTGCAACGCCTTCTTCTCCCCACCAGCCTCCCCTGAGCTGCACCCCCAAGCGTGCCCACTCACCTTTTCCTGGAGAGCAGGGGTCTCTGGCTCTGGTTCGGGCTCCATTTCTTCTGCTGCAACTGTCTCTGGTGGGGGTGGGACCTCGTCACCCCCACCCTCAGTCCCCTCTTCCAGCAGCGTTGGGGGAGCACAAGGCTCCTCTTCAACAAGCTCCTGAGGCGGCGGCCCTGCTGGGGGGCTCCCTCCTTCTCTCTCCATCTCCTCCTGAGAGGGCAGCACCTCAGGGGCCAGTGTGGGTGCGGTCTCGGTGCCAGGCTCCCCAACGGCCCCTGGCTCCTCCACTTCTAACAGCAGCCCAGGCTCCGGCTCCGGCTCCGGCTCCGGCTGCACCTTGGGGGACTCAGTCGGGGGCAGAGCTGGAGGCAGGCTGGTGGGCGGAGGTCCTCCTTCTTCTACTTCCCCTCCTGCTGGGGCAAACTCCAACTCTTCCACCTCTTCCAACTCTTCTTCCTCCTCCTCCTCCTCCTCCTCCTCCTCTTCTTCCTCTAACTCACCTTCCTCTTCCTCAAATTCCTCCTCAAACTCTTCTTCTTCTTCTTCCTCTTCAAAATATTCCTCTTCATCCTCTTCTTCTTCCTCAAAATCTTCCTCTTCCTCCTCCTCTTCCTCCTCCTCCTCCTCTTCATCCTCTTCCTCTTCCTCATCACTGCTGTTGATATTAATAACTGTCAAATCTTCTTCCAGGGCTGGGGGTGCTCCCCCACCAGGAGTTCCTTCAGGGACCAACTGGGGTGGCTGGAGTGTCACGGGGCCCGGAAGAGGGGGTGGGGGTGGAGGAAGAGGCCCCGGGGCTGCTGGAAGCTCTTCAGGCTCCTCCTTGGCAGGTAGAGGCGGGGAGGCTGTTGGTGGCCCAGCTGGGGCAACAGGGGGTGGGGTGGTGCCTGCCGGGGGTGGAAGCGGAAGGGGCGGCAGCCCCTCAGGCACGATCACCACGCTGTCATCAGAATCGCTTTCCAAGGAGATCTCTACATCAGACGCTTCCTCCTTGTCATAGTGGACAAAGGCTGGCCTGGGCACTCTCCCCCCAAAGGTTTCATCGGCGGGTATAGTAGGTGGAGGAGTGCCACTAGGGGCAAGGATAGGGTCCTCATTTGAGCCTGCCCGGTGGTTCTCAGGGCCAGGAAGGAGCCTGGGGGGTACAGATGCCAGGCCTGGGACAGAGAGACCTAAGTGGTTGGCTGTGGCTGGAGGTCCAGGGCGTGCTGGGGGCATTGGCCCTACTGGGGGCATGGGCCCCACCGAGGGCACGGGGCCAGCTGAAGGCATGGGGCCCGGGGGATGGAAGGGTGGGGCCCTGAATGGAGATGGGGCCTCAGGAGGAGGAACTGGAGCAGGTGCGGGGCAGGCGGGGCCCATGGACTGCAGAGGAGGAACCCGAGGGTGGGTCAGAGCAGCGCAGGTCACCAGTGCTTCTGAGCAGAAAGAGGAGACCTGAGGAAGGATGAAAAAGCGAGTGTGAGCCTCCAAAACACAGGGTTTCATGGCACAAGAGAACCTGCCAGCACCATGAACAAGAGAATCCCAAACCCAAAGAGGCGGACTCGGCCCCAGGCAGCAGTTACCTCCAGGTTGTCTTCTCTCTGGCCAAGGGAGAAGGCTTGCAGGGCACAGGCAAGAGGAGGTGGGTAGCGAGGAGAAGGTGCCAGCAGCAGAGCCAGCAGCAGGCGGTAAAGTTCGCGGCGGCAGTAGGAGCTGGTATATGGGGAGCTGCCTAGAACCTCGCCCTGCTGGACACTCATGACCAGGGGAAGGACCAGATCATGCAGTCTCTGAAAAGGACAGAGAGCACAACTAGAAACACCACCAAGACTACCTAACCCTCCCCCAGGGCCTCCTCCCAAGTTGGAATGGACACCCTCTGGGGGCACAGCTGACCCCACCCCAATCTCCATGAGGACCATGCTCCACTAACCCTGTGAGTCTCCTCCTTGATGAGAGGCCCGCACATGAGGATGGTCCTGCTGAGGCCTGGGGAAGAAGAATGGTGTCTAAGAGGCTACTAAGAGGACTGACAGCAAGGGCTTCTGCAGCACATGGTTCAAGGGGAGCACCCAGCTTGCCCTAACTCAGGCAAGTTACTTAAATGCTCTAAGTCTGTTTCCTCCACTATGAAATGGGGATCATACTAAGTAGGGCTGTTGATACTGAAGGCCTGAGGTAGCAAACACAAGGCCCGCAGGCTGAATCCAACCCTCTACCTTGTTTTATCCAGCTCAGCACCTTGTCTCTACCCAGCTGCAACACCGAGCTCTTGCTTAATAGTTAAGGAGTAGTTACATTTATACAGTCCTAAAATTACATTCAGCCCTTTGAAGGCAACCACGAGGCTGATATGGCCCCCAGTGAAAATGAGTCTGACACCCCTGCTGTAAGCCCGTTATAAATGTGCATTTGTAGATTTGAGGAGCACTGGCTCTCCTCTTTACACGAGGTGGGGTGGCAGGCAGTGACATAATGTGCACAGGGGACCCAAATGATAGTCTGTACTTTTGCTTCCAGGTTAGTGACTATAGGAAGCAGGGAACCCCACTGAGCAGCCTGCCTGAACAGAATGTAAACTACACTGGGCAGGGATTGCCGCCTTGCCACCACTGTCCCCGGCACGTGCAGAGGATGTGCAGACATAATAACTGAGACGCTGGGGCAGTGTAAATGGCCAAACCCCATCAACAGCAGGGTCCAAGATCCCGCCTGCAGCCCTGGGAGTTGCAGGGCTGCTCCTGCCCCTTTGGTCCCCTGCAGGTTTTCAGCTGGTTCTGCATCTTATCTGCACCCTCCAGGTGCAGGCTGCAGCCCCAGGTCATCCCAGCGCCCCGAAGGTGCAGGGCACAGACCTCACCCACCTCTCAGTGCAGCTGCACACACATCGCTGTTGGCGTTGCTGTCCCCTTTCCGGTGGCTGGGAGGGGCCACAGCCTCCCCCATGTCCAGCTTTAGCTTCTTGGGGGCGCTGGGCTTCCCTGTCTGCAAGCCTCCATCAGGGCTCCCCCGGGGACTGCGCAGCTGGTGGTGGAGGGAAACAAAAATCAAGTTCACAGGCAAACCGGAAGGCATGGGAGACAGTGCTGGATGTGGAGGCTCATTTGGACAAGGGGCGCAGGATGAGAGTCCTAGCACAGGAGAGGTGAGCAGAGGCCTCACTCACCTTCAAGGCATCAGCTGGCGGGGAAATGTCACTGAGAAGGTGGGTAAGTAGGGCCTCTCCCGAGGCTCCTCCCTGAAGCACTCCTGCCGAGGCGCCACACACCTGCACCCACAGCTCTAACACAGCGTACACCTTGGTCCGCATGGCGCTGTGCAGTGAGCAAAGGGTAGCTTTTCAAAGGCAGCTGACATGCCAGATCCAGCCTCTCCTCCCTCAGTACTCCCAGCCCCTTGGAACCCCCAATCCACCCGAGTCCCTCACCACCCCTGCCTCTTTATCCTTGTCCTTAATGGTCACCTGTAAGGCTTCTCCTGGCCCAGAGAAAGAGTATCTCTACCAATGCTCCAGGCATTGAGGACCTGGGGAAGCAGGCGGCTGATCAGGGACCCAAAGCGCAAGAGCCGACCTCCACACCTAGGGGTGAAGACACAACGGTGACCTCCATTCCCAGCATGTCCCAGTCCCTTCATCACACTCTGCTTAGTCCCACTCACGCAAGGATGAGCGCGGAGAGCAGGTCCAAGGCTTCAAGGTGGATAGAGGGCAGCAGCAGCAACCGCAAGGGACCATCTCCAAGCAAGCTCTGCAGGAGAAAGGTGGCAAAGGAGTGGGACAGAAAGGGAGACACAGAGTAAGGAATGGAGACAAGGCAGACGTGTGACTACAACATGTGCACACACAGTTAAGGAACCCGCCCCCCCACCCCCCCCGCAGCCCAGCTCTCCCAACAGGATCAAACCCCCATCCTATAAAATAGACCATGGAGGAGGATGAGGGGAGGAATGGCTGACCCTCTCAGCAATGATGCAACTGGCCCCCAAGTTCTCCCTCCACTAGAAAAACACGTGCTACTGGTGTCCCCACACTAGCTGTGTCAGGAGAAACACAAGGAATGATGGCATTGGGATAAAAGGAAGACCCTGTCCAGGCCAACTGCTTGGGGAGCTTCAGATCCCATACTACTGTCCTGGTTGCCCAGGGTCCTGAGGAAGGACTGTGAACAGAGGACAAACACCACTTACAATATTCTTGGCACTGATGCTGAGGGTCCGGCAGACGACATCCAGGATTTCCTGCACAGGGATGGACACGGGGGCCCCAAACTCAGACCTAAAGAGAATCAGAGCAGGAGTACCCTCAGCACAGGTTCCCCACTGAGACCCCACCCGCAACCTCAGTCTCCTTCCGCATGATGCAGAAAACACTCCCATATCAACCCCTCCCCCTCCAGGCCCATGCTCCTTCCAACATTCACTCACATACCTGAGCAGGAGCCCCAGGCAGCAGGCCAGCCCAGAAAACCTCTGCCGAAGCCGGAGGAGGTTATGGGCATCACCGTCCTCGGAGGGGGAAAACAGCATCTCCACTCCAGGGCCTTCATACTGCATAGGAGCTGGACATACACATAAGCACCTTCACACTCCAGGGCTTTTTTCTACCCCCCTCCCTTTTCATTTCTAGTGAATGACCCACCATACTGCCTAGAAATCAACTGTCCTGCCTCTCTGGGCCACCCTCCTGGTTCCCTTCTGCCACGTTCCCCAACCACTCTGCCACTGACTACCAGTCATGGTCCCTACCTGGTTCTGCTCCCTCGTAGAGAGCACCCAGCAGACTGTGCAGTGAGGCCAGCAGGCTGTGTAGCTCCTGTTCCCAGCTTTCCGTGTGCTTCAAGCCCTGGGAAAAGCCAGCCCCTAGAGAGGGCAGCCGGGAATAACACTCACACGCCAACTGCAGAAGGTCAGAAACTTGGTCAGACAGGAATGCAGGCCAGCCAGAATCCCCCAGCACCACCAATGCCAAGAAAAATGGAGATCACAAAGAGGCCTTAGGGAACATAGAAAAGGGACGATGGAGTAGAAGGACACAGATGGGAGCACAGGGGCAGAGGTCATGCCTGTGCCTCTTGAGTATGTTAACAGGGAGGGAAGTGGGAACACGGCCCAAGCAATAACAAGAGAGAAACGCAAAGAGAGAGGTAAGAGAAGCTCCAACTTACACCTAGGCTTCTCATCTCCCTCCTTTTCCTTTACCTGCTGGAGCTGCGGGCTCAAGGCATCCACCCGAGACAGGAAAAATGAGGCCAGTTTGCCCTGGGTTGTGGAAAAGAGAGGATAAAGCTGGTGAGTCAGCGCCAAGGGCCAGAGACATTCACCCTGTCTATTCCTAGCAGCAGAATCTAAGCCCTCGCCGCCTTCTTTCCTGCAGACACAGGAAGCAAAGCACTCAACGGGGGATCGCGGTTGGGGGCCAACAAGCTCTTGTGGTAGAAAGACATCCCAAATGTCAGCTCCCAATCTTACCCTCCCTGCTTGGTGCAGAAAGGGTCTGGCCTGTGCCCCGGACTCTGGGCTCCCTGATGCCGCATTTCCCTCAAGACAAAAGGACACCAAGTACTGAAAAGCAGCAACCCCCACACTTCCTAGCAAGAAGCAAGGGGTCCAAGCTGGGAGCTGAGGCTCTAACCAGAAGTGTGAGGGTAGGTCAAAGTCAAGAGAAAAGGGAAGGCCTCAGAAGAACTGAAGCAGCACATCTCAGAGCAGTGACCTGTGAGTCAGCAAACATTTACTCGGCCTGCTATGTGAAGGTGCTGGCACGGGAAGTGTTCAACCTGGGCCACAACTTATTGGGGGTAGAATGAAAGGGGCCTGTGAAATGGATGGGGGGAAGTTACGTCATTTTCAGTAACCTGTAAGTAAAACATAGTGTTTCTTTCAATTATAAGCGTAAACAAAAAGCCACAGTAATATTAGCAGTACCTCTGGTTATCACCAATAGAAATCATTTGCTTTCATTTCACATTATAATTGTAATGGGTATCCTGAAGTGTTCACATGTATTGCTAATTTCAAATTCAGTAAGTATGAGACCTGCTGCTAGATCTTGCTGTTTGACACATTAATGAAGAAGCACATACAACTCTATCACAAGTTTTTAAAATATATACTTCAACAGAATCAGTTTCCCTTAAAATTCTATGTATTTATTTTATGAATTTAAAACCACTCTGAGCCCTGGCTGGTGTGGCTCAGTGGGCTGAGCATCACCCTGCGAACCAAAAGGTCACTGTTTTGATTCCCAGTCACGGCACGTGCCTGGGTTGTAGGCCAGGCCAGGTCCCCAGTTCGGGGCACATAAGAGGTAACTAATCAATGTTTCTTTCCCTCTCCCCCTCCATTCCCCTCTCTCTAAAAAATAAATAAATAAAAATCTTTAAAAAACATTCTGAGACGCAGACCGTGGCATAAAAGGGGTAAGAACACTGAAGTAGACCTATGGAAAGGAATGAGATGGGAGTTCCACCCTCAGTGGGATGTGGGTTAGTCTGGCAGACAAGTCTTTGGAAAACAGCACTGGGGGACCAGAAGTGACCCTGTACCGAGATGAGGGCAGAAGGAGGGTCCAGAGGGACTGATGCTGGGCGGCAGGGATAGGGAGGGCAGGACTGAGCCGGACTTAAAAGAAAGAGGAGAATCCCCACGAAGCCAGCAAGGGGAAACACTGAGGAAAGCTACAGACCCAGAAGATGCCACAGAGAAGGAGGCTGAAGCCTCACATCCCAGCCCAGAAAGGGTGGACTCTGGGGGAAGGGAGAATGGGGCACCACCACACACACAAATCTGCAGAGAAATCAGCAGTGGCACCAGATTTATGGCAAGGGACTTACAGGAGCAAAGCAGGAGCAGAAGCCTGTCAGTGTGTGGTTCAGAAACCACCCCTCCAAGGACTGCCTCCCACCTACCCTGGGGCAGGAACATCACACTTCAGGATTCTGGTGACCATGAGACAAGCATTGTTACAGCTGATGCCCTGTTACAGCCGATGCCAGGATAAAAGACGATCAGGAACCATTTCCCTTGGGACTTGGACAGCACTTTCACGTCTGATGTGGTAGGACTCAAAACACTTCGACCCAAATTCAGTATCCATCCACAGGTCTCCTGACTCACCAGCTTCTTCAAGTATAAGATTTCTTAGAGAGCTGCCAAAGCCCCAACTGTAGTGGCACTCAGCCCTTTAGGCCAATTTACAGCTCACACTTCTGGGACTCCAAAAGCTGGGCTGAGGCCAAAAGAAGTCTGCTTATGCGACTGCAATAAGACAGAATACAGGGACATGGCTCTGACCACAGGTCTGCCCCAGGGCCAAGCAAACTAAAGCAATGGCTCACCTGGAGTGGCTGACTTGAAATGCAAGTGCATATGCATGTCCAGGGTCTCTCTCAAGAGTGGGGTTAGCCTTCCCACTCGTTCCCAGAAATTACTAATCAATTTGGCAAAGAGAGGTAAAGCCTCTACAGGAGTGGCTCCACAGACTCAGAATGCTTGAGTTTCACCACTTGGGAGGAGTAATTCTGACCCTGCAGACTGCACCTGCCCTGGGAGCTTCTGGGCATGGGACAAAGAACAGATAAATATTCCAAAATGGCAATTATCAGTTGCCTAAGCACTGGTCTGCAAGATGTTCCAAGTACAAAGTGCCCCTGGGGCCTTTGCATGAAACAGATTCCTATCTGACATGTTGGCAACAAAGACAAAATCCTCAACAGCTAGAGAAGTTCTTCAGGTGACACTTCCCTCTTAAAGAAATAAAGGCATACATACCCTGTTAACATGTGCAAGTTTTGCCAGTTTGGAAAGAATACTCAAAATGCAGGCCATAACTTCAAAACCACACCTCCCACAAAAGGTTGTGAATTTCAGATGAATTCTCCTGACTACTCATAGTGAAAAGTAAGCGGTACCAGCAGAGGACACACCTGGCACTCTCGTCTCCCTGACTCTTCAAATGCTGACCCTGCAGATAACACTCAATCCTCCCTCCACTTTCATGGGGGGATGCAGACAGAGACAGGTTACCCCAAATCAAGGTGAGTCAAAATAGCACCTCACAAACTTTGACCAGTGAGGAGTCAGGGACAAAGATCTATCTAGCCTGTATAATTTGATAAGTTAATTTACAGAATGTTTTACAAGAAAGGCAGTTTTGACTTAAACTCAGTAAAATCCATGAGTTACTCTAAATGCCTTCTTGACCAAAGTCTTGCCAGGATTCTGTCACCTGATATTAGTGGCATTCACATAAAAACAAAGAATCAAAAACATGACTCCATGTTCTCTGAGAAGTATCACCTGCTCAGGGACCTTTCAGACACTGCAAGCAACCAGTCACTGGAGGGAGCCGCAGCGGACACCACCCACATCAGGCTCACAACCCTTCGTGACCCACTAACAACTAGTAAGAGCTGGCATTCATGTTGAAGCCTACCTACCAATCCTCTGTGTTCTTAAAAGCTTCTAGGGAGTTTGATTAAGTGGGGGGAAAAAACACAGGCTTTAAGTGGCTCACACTGGTTTTATAACTACTACATACACAACCTCTGGTTAAGTCAGTTAAATACCTGTGGGCCTGTTTCCTGGTTAGTTGGGCAACACCAACCCCACATTCCTGCTCTAATGATAAATGAGACGACGCATCTCGGACACACGGCACAATGCCTGGCACATTGTGGTGCCCATACCAGTTCCCTTACCTTTCTTTTACTTCCTTGATTTGGTCACAGACCCATGGGATCTTACTTTCAAGATAATTTGAATGGTGAACTCCCCCTTAAACTGATAATACTGATACAGTCAACCACAACAGTCAGACCAAAAAAAGTTATTAATTTGGCACTAATTCCAGTTCTCTATTCGGATTTGTGCCTCTATGTGAATAAGGGGATGCTCAATGGTTTGTCAAACAATGATGAGATAACAAAACAACAGAGAGCATTTATTCTACAGGAGAACAACAGTTTATTCTTAGGTAAAAGCTGGCATCCAATTATACTGCAAACAACAGGTGCCGTTCGTGTATGTCCTGGAAAACAAAGCCAACTCTTGCACCGGCCTCCCTCGCCTGACCCACATACACCTTACCTGTTTAACCGAATGAGGTTATGCTGTAAAGGTCAGGGCAAGTGAAACAAAGAGTGGGGAAGTGACAAGGGGAGTTTAGTCAAGAATATAAGGAGACGTGTTGGAAAACTGTTACAGGGAAGTAATATGAAGGCTTCCTGGAGGAAATTACAAGAGCTTCACAAAGACTGAATGGTAGAAAGAGGTGAGGCACTCTAGAGATACAGAGGAGGGGAGGAAAAGGAAACAGCCCATGGGCCTGGGCTTTGGCATCAGATATAGTTTCCCATCTCTGTTGACTTTAGGCAAGCTATTTAACTTTAATTTCTTCATTTATACATGTAGAGTGCTGCAAGGTAATATAATTATAGCTGTGGAGATCAATGATAGAACAATCAAAAGACAGGTGCTTAGCCCCGACCAGTCTGACTCAGTTGGTCGGAGCATCATCCTGGAAAGTGAAAGGCTGCCAGTTCAGCACTGGCTGGTGTGGCTCAGTGGGCTGAGCGCCAGCCTGAGAACCAAAGTGTTACCAGTTTGATTCCCAGTCAGGGCACATGCCTGGATTGTGGGTCAAGGTCCCCAGCAGGGGGCGCTCAAGAGGCAATCACACACTGATGTTTCCCTTTCTCCTCCTCTCCTGTCTCCATAAAACAAATAGATAAAATTAAAAAAAAAAAAAAAGGCTACTGGTTCAATTCCTGGTCAGGGCACATGCCTAGGTTGCAGGTTCAGTCCCCAGTCAGGGCATGTATGGGAGGCAACTGACCTCTCTCACATCAATGTTTCTCTCCCTTTCTTTCCTTCTCTCTAACAATAAATAAAAATAAATAAATAAATAAAAATAAAATAAAATAAATAAAGAGAGAGAGAGGTGCTCAGAAGTCTCAGCATTGGAATCTGAGGTAAAAGAGCTAACAAGGCTTATGTTGGTACGATGAGGAATGTCCATGGATACTTACTTTGAGAGACCCACAAGCCCGAGGAAAATAGGTCATACACGCCTTCATTCCCTCCAGTGCTGAGAGCTCACACTGTGGGAAAATCAAAGTAAGGAGGAGGTGAGAGCCCAATGCCCCCACAGAGGCCATCCCCACCCCACAACCCCTCAAGGTCCCTCCTCCACACACTATTTTTTTGCTCTTCCTTCTCACTTCTTTGATCCAATTCCCTACTCACTTCCCATCACATTCCTTAATCCAAGTGGTCAGAGTTAGGGAGGTACATCGAGGGGCCAAGGGGCGGAGGGACTGGGGAGGGGTCTCACCTCTGGTCTGAGGCCCAGCAGGGAGGTGAGAAGGCCAGGGAGGTGGTTCATGGAGATGTCCCGGAAGAGTGTAGGAAGTTGGGCTGCGTACCGGAGCAGGTCCCTCAGAACAGCCACAGCCAACTCCATTGTCGGGGGTGGGTCCTGGGACTAAAGAGCAATAACACTCCATGCTTCCAACCTCACCTTCGTGGTAACCAAGAACAGGAGGAACGAGAGGTAGGACAACATGGGGCTTTTGAGAAACACCACTGTTAATGTCAATATTACCATCAGATCCACTAGGAATAGAGTACATTAGGAATACGGAGTATCCAAAAGTAACACATTTGTCTATAGAAAGGATAGGTGTTTACATTTTCGTATTAGGGGTATTTGGGGTCCTAGGAATTTGAGGGAAGAAAAAAAGTAACAAAGTCACACCTTAAAGATCTAACAGGAAGATCTCAAGAGCTTGATTCTCTCGTACTATATACTCCCCTAGAATGGAATGGAGAACAGCACTCTCAGACTGAAAAAAAGTCTCAGCCACAATAAAACCACCCCACCTCACCAAGCTGGCTCAAACCTACCCTGAACTCATGGAAGAAAAATGGTTTGGATTTAGAAGGACTTCCCTAAAATGTTAACATATTCTAAGGAAAAGCATTCAGCACGTATCTCCTACTAGACCAGAGAAGGTCATGTGTCAAAGGGGCAAATAAAAATGTTTAAGAGAGTAAGAATACTGGACCTACCAACTACAAATGGCCCCCAACACTGTCCAGTAATCCTACTGTACTTCTCTCTGGTTAGCTTCCCTTGCTACTGAAACCTTCTCCCACCACCGTCACCTCTGGAAAACCTAGCCTGCAACTTCACAGAGGAAACTGAAGAGACAAGAGGGGCACTCCCTCAGCTTCCCACTATCAAACCTGAAAAGTCCATCTTCAGCCGCACCCACCTTCTCCTTCCCTCCTCTTGTCCCACTAGAGGAAGCAGGTCCCCTTCTATTCAAGATACCCTGCCCCACTGTGCTTCAGAGACTATCCCCTCCCTTCCTCTAAACCGGCCCCTTCTCTCCTGTTCTAACCAGTCCCTCCTAGGAGGACTCTTCCCACTGACATTCATACATGCTCGTCTTTCCTATCTTAAAATCCTTCCTTAATCCATACTTCACTCACCCAACCCCAGCTATTTCTCTCCCTTAGTTATTTTCTCCCTTACCCCAGTCTCAGCTATTTCTCTCCCTTTGAGCCAAATATTGAATATTTTGGAAGGACTGCCTATCTTCCCTATTTCCACTCCTTTTCCCACTCACTTCTCATTCTAGGCACCCTGGCTTCGGTACAGACTGCTCCACCAAAAATACTTTGACTAACCCATGAGCTGCTAAATCTGATAAATAACTTTCAGTCCTTGTTTTATTCCACCTCAGAGGGGCATAAACAGAAAGATCTTCCCCTGTATTCCACCCAACCCACAGTCCTGATTCTCTCGTACTATATGAAAGTTTGTATCCTTTCTGCTGCTGTCTCCTTTTCCTTCATAAGCTCATCGTCCTCCGCGTGACTAGTAACTGTGGAGTGCTTTCAAGTCCAAACCGCATAAGGCCACATCTTGATCATCTCGTTTTCTTCCTCACCTCCAGCTGCCATCTGAATGCTGAACACTCTTCCCCTTTGTAAAACGTACAGAATGAAGCCCCCCACCCACCCACCAAACCCTCAAGGTTACAATGATATTCCCGGCCACTTCCACTCACACCAGATCAGGTTTGACGCTCACTAAGGAGCCTTCTACTGAATTCCCAAGGCCATACTCATGGTATTTTAACTTCTCACCTCTGGACCTGGCTGTCTTCCAATGTTCTGAAATCTAGAAGTCCTCCTGGACATATCCTCTCCCTGACCCTACTCCATCATCAGGACCTGTCCACTTTGCCTCTAAATCTCCCTTGAACTCATCTACCTATTACTTCTACCAACCCCAACCTACTCTAAGCTGCTGTGAATGTTCTCCTGGGTTATTTTAATAGCCTTCTGTTCTGGCTCCTTTCTAATTTTCTCCACAGAGAAGCTAGAGTGACATTTTCAAATGAAAACTGGATCATGTACTGCTACCACCACCTCTTCCTCACCCTTACCAAAAACCTTCTTGAACTGCAACTGTTCCAAAACTAAACGCCAAACTCCTAACATGCCTTCCACACCATACTTGGTCCCCATCTATTTACCTCCCCAGTCACATGTCAATAGCCCCAAACACACCAGCTTGCTTACAAGTCTTCACATGGGCCAAACTCCTCTTCTCTTAGGCCTTTTGCACTTACATCACTTCCTCAGCCCAATTTACTCCTAATCACCCATTCAGAAAAGCACTCCCTGAATCACTGCCCCTGATGACCCAAACCACCTCAGTCTGGGCCAGTCTCTCTTGTTACGTGTTCTCAGGGGACCACCTCCTTTACCTCCATAGCACCTCCCTCAGTTTATCACCTCACACTCCTCTGTACAATCAGTCAATTAAAGCCTCTTGCACTACAACAGGAATCAGCAAAGTATGGTCTGTGGGTGCCTGTTTTGACGTGGCCAACAAGGTAAGAATGATTTTTTCATTTTTAAAGGGTTGGAAAACTAACAAAAAAAAACTACGCACAACAGAAACCATACGTGGTTCACAGAAACCTAAAAGATTTACTACCTACAAGCATGTACTTCATAGAAAGTTTCCCACCCCCTGAGCTAGACTCCAAGCCCCAGGAAAACAGGGTCCAAGTCCATCTTACCACTGTCTCCCAAGAGCTGAGCACACAGCCTGCCACCTGTGCTCAGAAGATGACTGTGGAAGAACTAAATGGAGATGTCATCAAAGAATGTAAAAGCAGGAAAAAAGTGAAATGTTAAAAGATAAATGAGAAAAAAATACAAAAGAAAAAAGAGACAGGACTAGGCAAGAAAAAAAATCAAACACCTAGAAAAAAGCACTTTAGATATGTCACTCATTAGTAAAGCTAATAATGGCCCTGACTGGTATGGCTCAATGGGTTGGGCATCATCCCACAAACCAAAAGGTCACTAGTTCATTTCCCAATCAGAGCATATGCCTGGGTTGCAGGCCAGGTCCCCAGTCAGGGGCATGCGAGAGATTAATGTTTCTTTCCCTCTTCCACTCTTCACCTCTCTCTAAAAATAAATAAATAAAATCTTTTAAGAAAAGCTAATGAGGAAATGAAACAGTCAGAAGTTCTGGTATATGAAAGGTCAGATGAATTAAAATTAACCCAGTAGATAAAAATATTGAAAGATTCTAAGGATTTCCATTTGAGGCTTATTGTCCCTGCTATCAGAAAACTGCTTCAATTATTCTGTCCTCAGAACTGAATGTCCAAGTCACAAAGAACATACCACGTCCAGAATGGAGAACAAGGAATGGCTGGAGGAGGGGACGGGGTCAGGGAAACAGCCATATCCTCACCTGCAAGACCTGCTGAATGCTCCGAAGCCACGAGACGCAGTGCTGCTGGAACATCTCTGTAGAGCTCTCCCCCACCAGCAAAGACAGCAGACAGAGGCCCTCAAACCTTATGGGAGAAAAGTTAGTGGTAACAAGTAGGTGGAGGCTAGACTTCAGGGAAAGCTATTTACTGCTCTTTCACTCTCACTGGACTATGGCCAAGACTGCCCCTCCAGGTCACTGTGGTTTCTAACTCCTGAAATACTTAGAAGACCTGGAGTGAGGTGTGGGCAGCAAGAAAAGAAGGGAACAGAGATCATCCCAGATGGGGCACAAGAAACCTGGAAGCTGGAATAGTTGATATGCAGCTCAAGTAAGCTCATGAGAAGAATGACAAGCCCCAGCCTCTTGGGAACGGAGAAATCTCTTAAATCCATGGGGTGGTGACACTGGATGGACAGACGTATAGCTCACTTCCTAAGGAAACATTCCCTTGGGGACAAAAACAAGGTTAAAGACTTACCGAGTTTTGATAGAACCGAGACGTGCATTACTGAGACCCACCAAAGCCGCAACAGCTGAAAGGTTCTAGAAGAAAGAAAACAAAGAAGTGAGTAAGGAACAGGATGCTAGAGATGCAGAATTTCTCCAAGCCCTATGAAGCCTTTTTCTGAAGTCACTCCTCCTTTGAGGATAAAAGACCATTCCTTAGAGGCCTTCAGCCTTTGCCCTATTTTCAGTAGGTGACACACACAGCAGCCTGTCCCACAGGCTTTCCTCAAGTCACATCTTGCTTACCCCTTCTCCCACCAACAAATCAGTGCTATAAAGAGGAGAGCAGAACTTATCCCAGCTAGCAGACCTCAGCCCCTAGCACAGAGGAGACATTCATAAACGTTCGCCAAATGGACACTGAACTCATCTCTTACTCTTCCTCCTTCACTCCCACACAAATGCCCCTCCTCCTGTCCCTGGCTTCCTTAGAGCTGTTAAGAATGCCAAGGTAGGCTTCTGGTCAAGATGGAAAAGCAGGTAAATGCTGTGCTCACCTCCTCCCACAACTACATCAAAAGTACAACTAAACTACAGAACAACCATCATTGAGAATGGCCTAAAATCTAGCGGAACAGAAGTCCTACAACTAAGGACATACAGAAGAAGCCAGATTGAGACTAGCAGGAGGGGCAAAGATGTGCCACAGGCTGGTCCCACACCCACCTGTGGTGGTTAAAAATCAGGAGGGATATCTCAGCTGTGGAGGTCCCCCCATCAGGAGCGAGGGGTCCCAGCCCCACACCAGGCTCCCCAGCCCAGGGTCCCAGTGTCAGGAAGAGAAGTCCCCATAACTTTTGGCTGCAAAAACCAGCAGAGATTGTGGTTCGGTGAGATGGAGGGCTTCTGCAGTTCCAGCCATTCGTCTTAAAGGGCCCGTACGCAGACTTATTATTCAAACACACTCCCTCTGAGCTCCAGCACTGGAGCAGCAGCTGGAAAGGTGCCAGGGATGTACAGGGAAAAATTGAATTGTCTGGCTTGGGACGAGAGATGAAAGGGCAGCTTCTCCCAGACAGAAGTGCTGGCAGAAGCCATTGCTCCTTTGCTGAGCCCTACCCCTGCAGGTACAGGTGGGTGCCACATCTGAGTCTCCACCAACCTAGCTAACGCTGTTCACCCCACCCTGGTAATTCCCTGATCTTGCCCCACCTAACTTGCCAACCCACCCAAGTGGCTTCCAGTGGCTTTCCCATATAAACAGCCTGTCTAGGCTCATGTCAGACTCTCCTAAAATCCTGCAAAGATCCACAAACCCCAAAAAGGCAGCATCTGGCCTCAGTGTGCCCCATCTGGCTAAGTATCCCCAAAAACAACACTAGCAGCAGCCGGCCTCCGTCCACAGCTTAGCCTCTCCCAGCCACCTCCAAGCCCAGCACAAGTGGCAATCTGCAGATCACTTCATAGCTCATACCAGGTGGTCCCAGCAGGGCACATGTAGCAGCTGACCTTGGCCTGCACCTCCCAAGAGGCCCCAAAACCAACACACTCAGTGGCCAGCTTCAGAACACACACCAGAGCACCACCCAAGCACCTCCAGAAATTACACCCTCAAAGGGCAGACTCGGCTGGCACCAGAGCCCCAATAAAGCAAATCCTGCTCCACAGGGTCAACCTATGCCTGACAGTTCCTCCACTATAGTCACAGCTAGTCTTCACAACCAGTCAGCCTGAGGATCAATCCATCCCACTGACATGCCAACAGCAATCAAGGCTGAACTACAATAGGAGGGCACACCCAACCCACACAAGAGACACATCTGGAGCACCCAGCTCAGGTGACCAGGGCTGGGCTCCACAAGACACTTATTACATATGGCCACTTTACCAAAATGGGGAGACATGGCAGCTCTACCTAATACACAGAAACAGGAAGGCTGCCAAAATGAGGAAACAAAGAAACATGGCCCAAATGAAAGAACAGAACGAAACTCCAGAAAGAGAACTGAACAAAATGGGGACAAGCAATCTACCAGATGCAGAGTTCAAAACACTGGTTATACGGACAAAACCAAAGTGGGGCAGGATCAAGGATGGGAAGTGGGGATGCCTGGGGTGGGGGGGAGTGGTGGGAGGAAAATGGAGACAACTGCACTTGAACAACAATAAAAAAAGTGACTGTCAGCTTTGTTCTACACGGTATTACCTTGAATCATGTGGACTTGAGTTTAATTTTTTGAATAAGGACTTCACCAATCTACCTTTACCTAAAATATTCCCAGTTCACCCTTGCAGAATGGAAATGATAAAAAACTCACTTGTTTTTTGCTGGGGGGGGGGGGGGAAACACTGGTTATAAGGATGCTCTATGAACTCAGTGAGAACTTTAACAAAGAGATAGGAAACATAAAAATAGAGAGAGAAAACATAAAAAAGAACCAGTCAGAAATGAAGAATACAGAAACAGAAATGAAAATAATACATTACAGGGAATCAACAGATTAGATGATGCAGAGGATCAAATCAGCAATTTGGAAGATAGTAGAAAACACCCAACTGGAGCAGCAAAAGGAAAAAGAATCCAAAAAAAAAAAAAATGAGGATAATTTAAGGGGCCTCTGGGACAACTTCAAGGATACCAACATTTGCATCATGGGGTTACCAGGAAAAGAGAGAGCACAAGGAATTAAAAGGAAATATTCATGTATTCAATATATATTCACTTATCATCTATTTCATGTGAGACATTGTTTTAGATGCTGGGGGGTGGGGTGGGTGGAGCTTATATTCTAATTAGAAAAGACAGAAAATAAACAAATGACCAAATAATAAATTGTAAGTTGGATGGCGCTAAGTGCCATAAGGAAGAATAAAGTAGACTAAGGGAAGGAGGGAAAGGTTGGACCAGGGGAGATAATGTTTTATGTAGAGTGGGCGTAAGAGCTCTCTCTAAAAAGGCCATTTGAGCAGAGACCTAAAGGAGAGTGAGGACAAGAAACACTGATACCCTCATACACTGCTAATAAGAATGTAAAAAGATGCAGCCACTTTGGAAAATAGTCTAGCAGTCCTCAAAAAGTGTTACACAGAGGCTTGGCCAGGTATTTTAGTTGGTCAGAGCATCGGTCCAATACTCCAAGGTTGTGGTTCGATCCATGGTCAGAACTCACACAAGAATCAACCAATGAATGCATATGCGTAAATAGGGGAAGCAACAAACTGATGATCCCCTCTCTCTCCCACCATTCTTCTCTCTCTCCCCCCTCACTCTTCCTTTCTCTCTCTAAAATCAGTAAGAAAAAAATAACGTTTTAAAGGGGGTTATACTTAGTGTCACCCACATGACCCAGCAATTCCACCCTAGGTATATGCAGGAGATATTAATGAGAATGTGTTCTCACAAGAACCTGTACACAAACATTCACAGCAGCATTATTCATAATAGTCAAAAAATGGAAACCACCCAAATGGACATGTCAATTGATGAATGCATAAACAAAATGTAGTACATCCATACAATGGACTATTCAGACATAAAAAGAAATGATGTTCTGAGACAGTGATGAGCCTTAAAACATTACATTAACTGAAAATAGCCAGACCCAAAAGGCCACACATGCTGTGTAACTCATTTATATGAAATGGTAAAAGTAGGCAGAGCTATAGAGACAAAAAGTAGATTAGTGGTTGCCTAGGTCTGAAGAGCAAGGGGGGGGGGGGGTAGGGGATAATAGGGAGTGACTACCAATGGTAGTTTCCTTTTTTAAAAAAATAGTGTCTTTTACTGATTCCAGAGAGAGGGGAAGGGAGGGAGGAAAGGGAGAGAAACATCTATGAGAGAGAAACATCAACTGCCTCCACACACCCCAACTGGGGACCCCACCCACAACCCAGACATGTGTCCTGACTGGGAATCGAACCTACAACCTTTCAGTCTGCAGGATGAAACCCAACCAAATGAGCCACACGAGCCAGGACTATTGTTTCCTTTTGAAGTTATGAAAATGTTCTAAAACTGATCTTGGTGATGGGCGCACAACTCTACAAATAAAACTAAAAAGCACTGAACTGTACACTTTAAACGGATGGATTGTATGGTATGCGAATTACATCTCATTAAAGCTGGTTTTTTAAAAAAAGCATAGTCACCCCCCCACCCCCCACAAAGGCAAACTATTCCAGGCAGAGGAGAGAAGAAGAGCACAGGCTGTGAGATGATGGCACATCTGGCAGAGCGGACTGACTGGAGACAAGTGAGCAAGAGGGGAGTAATAAGAAATGAAGGTCCCAGCAACAGGGCCAGATCTTGTAGAGTCACAGAGGCAACTGACTTTTACTCTAAGTAAGATCAAAGTCATGGGGAGAGAGAGAAGTGATATTGTCTGACTTGTGATTTATTCTTTAAAACACATCAGTTCCCTTATTGAGAAGGTGGAAGCAGACAGAAGCAGGAAGTTGTTGTACTAACACAGGAGAGAGATGATGCAGCTTAAAAAGCGTGGTGAATATGGGGATACAAAGCATTGAATTCTGGATATATTCTGAAGGTAAAGCCAACAAGATTTGGTAACAGATTGGATATGGGTGGGAAGTACAAGTAAAGATTAATTCCAAGGTTTTTCACTTGAGTGATTAGCTATTTACTAAGGAAAGGAATACTGCAGGAGGAGATTTGGGGAGTGAGAATCAGCTTCAGATATGTTAAATTTGGGATATCTATTAACATCACAATGGAGATGCCAAAAGATGTTGGGGAGGTAAGTCAGGACTTAGGATAAATCCTGGTTAGAGCATGAATTTGGGAGTTGTCAGTCATGAAGCTGGATCAGCTCACCAAGGGAGTGAAAACAAAGCAGTACAAGGACACTTAGAGGTCAGAGATGTGAGGAGGAACCAGTAAAGATGACTTGAAAGGAGCAACCAGAAAGGTAACAGGAGATCAGAAGAGAGTGGTAGCCCAGAAGCCAAGCAAGGGAAACTTTCTAAAAAGGGAGCGATCAGCCTGGACTATGTGACGCTCAGCTGGTTGGGCATCAGGTGGATTCCCGGTCAGGGCACATTGGGGCACAGAGACAACCAATCAATGTTTCTCTCTC